ATGTATGTATGAATGAATGTATGTATGTATGAATGTATGTATGAATGTATGTATGTATGAATGTATGTATGAATGTATGTATGTATATTATGACCACGTGACAAGCAGAGTAAAAAAAAAACTGAAAGTTCTTGCGAGACCGACTTATTGTTAACATTTTTTAGTTCCTGGCAAATGTTGCAACGTGACACCCTTGTGTCTGAAGATTGTTAAGATTAAACCTTATAATTTCCTGTCTGGTTTTGTCAGTGCTCAGTTATTACTTGATGTCGTATTACATCTGCACAGGGCTGGAACAAAGTAAAGTTGCCATTTCGGTAACAAGATATTTGTGATTTAAAAATCGTGTTTGAATGTTTTCAGACCTTTAAGATAAACTTATGACTTTTGGAGAAAAAAAAACTCAGAAGGAGGCTGTTTCTCCGTCTAGTTAGGTTTTTGTAAATTTGAAAGGAAGGAGTTCTCGTTGTCCGGAGGTCCAGTGTTTGCCTCTTATTCAAAAGGTCCAGGGTTCGAATTCTGACAACAACGGGAAAATCTTCTTCTCTAAAATGCTCTCCTTTTACTTTCTTTTCTGCTCTCTAATCATGTTCTGTCATTTGTTTTCCTCTACACTTTATGCCCCTACCCTTCTTCCTCTCCCCACCCCACCCCACTCTCCACCCCATCTTGACTCCTGACTCTTTCTGTTGCTACTTCTGGATCCTTCTTACTGCTGTTTTTCAGCCACACACCTGATTGTAGGGTAGGTAAGATCGAAAACCTGTCCTTCTTGGAGAAGGGGAGGAGGGAGGGGGGATCTCGGAGGTCCAGTTTGCAAGTTGTCTTAAAATCGATAAGAGCAGGCTTTGGCTACAATCCGGGCAAAATTCAAAATTAATTCCTTCCAAACTGAAAGTGCTTAATGTTTCCCATGCAACCATATTACCTTTTTAATTATACTAGGTCCTAAAACATATTTTGTTTGTCGGTTGTTTAATAAGTGGTACTGTCAGCATGGGTTCAAAAATACTTAGTCAAAATTCAAATTCTAAAAGTTGAAAGAAAAAGTGAGAAAAAAGACCATACCGTAGGTACAAAAGAATGAAATAGTTGGGTGTTTTGGTTTGGGCTTTTTTAGGGAAGGGGGGGTCCTTTCTAATGTAAAATTTTGCTTTCTTGGCTTAGCACATCCAAACAACTTGTCGAAGAAATACAAATTCTGCAGGTGTGAGAGTTTTTGACTTTGTTTTGTTGATAGACTCTCTAGATATGTGCACAATCTGCTCTTGCTCAATTAACTCTAATGTTTCCGCCTCCGCATCGTATTTCGATTCTAGAGAAGGTTGGGGGAACGGAAAAAGAGGTTCCGAGCAATGTTTTCAAATGTCACCAATTCGCTGAAAACATGAAATAATGGAAAGTTATTAACATCTCCTCCGTCCCCGATATCTGGTTGACAGACGCAGTAGGCTGCAAAAGATAGACGCAATTTCTTTGCTGGCCAACAAATTTTTGTTAAACACGGTTGTACTCAGGGTTTATCGAGTCTCTTTAGAAATATTAGTTTGACATACATACTTACACACAGAAGATAAGATAGGATAGATAAGATAAGAAGTTAGTGTGCATGTGATGTCTGTCTGTATGTCTGTCTGTGCGAATGTTTATGTGTGGTTGTGGGAGTGCTTGCATGTTTGTGTGCATGTGTGCGTGTGTGTGTGTGTGTGTGTGTGTGTGTGTGTGTGTGTGTGTGTGTGTGTG